CCACTCCCATCCGGTCACATGGGTGGCAAGCCACTCCCACAAAGGAGGCCACACCCACAGAGCAGGTTCGAACAATTTTTGAAACCCACCACTGGAAATATATATACAGGCACTTGTGTACAACAAGACCCCAAACAATGCCCACCTCTGTTTTATTCCTAGGGTACAAATGCCAGCTTTTTTCTACTTCAACTATTTTTCTCTCACAGTAGCTCTTTCCAAAAATAAGAAAACACCTACTTTTATAATCTTTATGTTCCTAACACTTCCCTCAACATTTTACTACTGTAGAAAATATATTTAGAGGGAAAGAAAAAGTGGAACAATAATACATTTTTCTTTATTTCTTGGCAGTGGGAGGAAACTCTACAATTGTCGCACAATTAGAAAAAAAGGGGCTCTTGAGAAAGGTGGATTGTGTTTTGTGGTGCCCTTTTTTTTCTATACCCATTTTACCCCATATTTTTAATATTTTTTAAAATTCTTACGTATTGACTTTTTTCAAAAGAAAAGCTGGGGTATTTTGTTTTGATTTGCTGTAAGCTTGGGAAAAGAGATTTTCTGGTAAATTGTGGCATTTAAATCTGTGGCTCTCCTGCCTGTGTTTGAACAGGTTAATAAACCTGGGGAGTGGTGAAGACCGTTATGAAATGGTAAATTTTTATTTTATGGTGTGGGTGTTAAGAAAGTATAATCCTCTGCAATCATTCCACAATATTCCCAATTCAGACTGGATCTTTGGGTGATCTAGAAAAGCACGCATGTATATTCTGACAAAGGGGAAAATTAATATTATTTATATAATCAGGGAAAAGTGTTCTATCCTATTGCAAAACTCATGTGAAAGCAGTTATAAAATTGCCAAACTAGGCTTATTAATAAAATTGGATTATGAAATTAACTGGGAGCAAGTAGTCACAGGAGGAATTGCAGTTTAGTTTCTATCCTTGTTTATCCTTAAGTAAAAGCTTTGCTGTAATTGCCTAGTACCTTTTAATATTTGATGCACACCAGTGGTGGGATTCAGCCAGTTCGCACCTATTCGGGAGAACCGGTTGGTAACTTTCTAAGCAGTTCNTAGGACCATTTTTCACACTTGTGACTGTTACGGCATCCCCATGGTCATGTGATCAAAATTTAGCTGCTTGGCAACTGGTTCATATTTATGAAGGTTACAATGTCCTGGGTTTGTGTGTGTGTGTGCGAGTGTGTGTGTGTGTGTGTGTGTGTGTGTCTGTGTGTGTGTGTGAGATGTGATCACTTTCCGAGACCTTCTGACAAAGTTAACGGGGAAGCCAGATTCATTTAACAACCATATTACTAACTTAACAACTGCAGTGAATCACTTAACAACTGTCAAGTGTTGTAAAATGGGGTAAAACTCACTTAACAAATATCTCACTTAGCAACAGAAATTTTGGGTCCATTGTGGTCAAAAGTTGAGGACTAGCACAAGATCGGCAGATGTAAAGAGACCTGGTCCATAGAACTGCCAAGAGTCGGACATGACTGAATGGTTAACATCATCATCATCATCTCACAGAAATATTTCAATGCAAGACTCACAGGAATTATAATTAAAAGAGATACAGCCATCAGCCAAGTGTACATTTCGGTAATAAATGGTGTTGCAAATCTATTTTGAAAATTTGTTTGAATCATGGTTACCTTAGGGTTAGTTCAAAGAAATGACTTCCTTCTTAGGTAGCCCAGAAAAAGTATAGCCCAGAAAAGAGAAGCAAGATAAAACTATGAATGGCTCAATAAACATCTCATTTCAACTTAATTTCTCATTTTCCACTGTACCTCATTTTTCCAGTAAAGTTAACCTACTATCTGCCAATCCTTTGAGCTATTCACAAACCATATTGGCACAGAATTGGATGCCCTCACTGGCAATACCTATCTTGCCAGCTAGTGACCCTGCCCTTATTCACTGTGTATAGGACATATAAAAAAAAGTTGGAGGATACCTTCCGTTTTGTTTCCCTCCCAACCCTCAAATATTAGCAGTCGATAGGAAAACATCTATCGACGCAGGCTGAGTGGGGAACGTGGCAAGTTTTGATAGACAGACTGACAAGGATATCATCCGCCACTCTGTTTTTGCCCAAGTGGTTTGTGTGAGTGCATCTAAAGGGACTCCAAATAGCATCTGATAGGCTTCCTTTGGATACATGTTTAACGCTATTACAGAACAGCATTAAACTTTTATTTTAAAAAGCAGACTGAAGAACTATAGAGGAACCCAGTGAGAGTTGAATTTTAAAGCAGCAGAGGCATCTCTCTCCCCCCCCCCACTTTCCTCCTTCTGCCCATTGGTCAGCTGCCTTCAGGCCAACTTATCCCTGGTGGGTACAGCAAAAGAGCCAAGTTTTATTTCCCTGGATTTTCTTCCTTCCCAAAGACAGTGCCTGAGGACCACAGGGAGTGATTCAGCACCAACACAGTGGCTCCTATGTCCTGCTGGCCATAAATTGACTATAACACCAACCAACAGAATCAATGAACTGCATCAGCTCATAACCAAGGCTTACTGTTGTGACTTATTGTTGTTGAAATACTGGAACCGCTCAAGACATTTTAAGCTATCTCAGGATAGTTTGGGGATGAAGTAACGGCTATGCTATGAGGGCATGGCTTTTTCAGTTTTAAAGGAGACCTTTAATTTCCTTTATAAAAGCATGTGTTACCCTCTGTCAACCTGCCAACCATGCCCACCCCTCCCAATAGATGAGGCCTCCCTATTATGTCCTCACAGCTACGACGGCTCTCCAGGAATGTGTTGGCTCAGGAACGCTGCTGATTGATCAAGACTCAAGCAGTCGCTTGGCAAGAGAACGCAGCCCCGCCATTGGTCGGTCCGTCTGACAACTGATATATAAAGAGCTGTCAGATGGCTAAGCGTTGTTTCTGGTTCCAGAGTTGCCTTACTTGTCAGCATTCACTTGTTAGCCAATAAAGGTTGTTTTGTTCACAACCTGCCTTGCTTCAGTTCCTACCCGCCTGGTTCCCTGAACGGAATACTCCCAATTACCCTCAATATCAATTTAAGACAATGTCAGATGGAAGAACCGGCAGAGACAGGAAGAGGACAGCCCACATACCCAGCCAAGGAGCAAAAGGCAGGAAAAGGAAATTTGAAATTAAACAATAAGAGTGTAATTAAAGTATAGTAATGTTTACACAGTTCTTACTTTGTAATGCTCAAGATTGTCAGATTTGGTGGGAAGACCCATAAATCGTTCAGTGTAGATGGATGCTGCAATATACAATAAATGCAGCTGTCACGTTGCACAGAAACACATTAACACATGGACACAAGAGCAAATGTATTATAAAGCATGCATTTACATTCATTCATGCTGGGCATTCAAGGGGGAAGTTTGGGCAATTTTCTTATAATTTTCCACAAAATGGACAGTTACTGTACTTTTAAAGCTGGCCTCAGGCTACAAAACACATCAAAGCAGCCATAATCACACAAGGGGTAAGCCTACTATTAGCCAGAGTGAAGAGAGTGCCTTCACTTACTTAGTTTGTATATTAAGTGCAAAACCATTTTACGCAGATAGACCTCCTTATTGAATTCATTACGAAAATATACATATTTTTTTTTGCCAAGGAAGCAGGGAGTTGTCAAAATAACACTGTTTGTACCTTAATTTGATAGTTATGTGGAACTAATTACATGTCTCTGTGATTTGCATTCTATGTGTTTTGATTTGTGGGCCGATTACCATTTCCTATAGTTTCTTCAGCAGCAAACCCTTGGGGGGGGGGATGCCTGGGATGGCATAAATAGGGTAATGAAGGTGGAGGAGTGTTCAAGAAGTAGCTGGGCCTGATGCCAAGTTGCCAGCTTCGTAGCCACAAGATTGCGTGCAGAACCGATTGAGATGAAGAGCAGGCATCTGAAGCTATGATTGATCTTAAAAAGGGCACCTAATAATTGGACACAGGAGCTGTTTCATGGACAATGGTGTCTTTGAAAAGGCCGGGGATTTGCCGTGTTTGCTTTAAGAACATCTGCTTTGAAGTCATATACCCAGCAGCTCTGCAAACTATTTCAAAGCAAGCTTTGCTCAAGAGAAGGTGTGTTTGTTTTTAAAAGAAAGTGTATTTTAAAGAAGGTGTTTTTAGATGAAGTGTACCTCAAACCTTTTTTTTATATGAGCAAAGGCCTAGCAGTGACCTAATTTTTAAAAAATAATCCAGCTGTCAAAACCTCATATTTTTAGTTGTTTTTTCCATACCATAATATTCCCAGCTGGAAACAGGAGCCACAGCTATTCCACACTTAAACATGCCAGTACCAGACCCAAGTGCCAGAGATGAAATATATCCACCGTAGGACTAGAAGGAAACAAGAGAGAAGTTAATATTTGAAAAGGCAAGTATTTGCTCTCTAAGAATCCAAGTCATAATATACTGAAGCCAAGGAGAACATTTGTTTTGGCATCAAGGAACATAGACTACTCAACAGTTTCTCCTGAATAATTTTCTATGAGCCACTGGAACAAATGGGACTTCCAAATATTTCTCTTCTTTAAAAATACATCTCTTTAATTCCTCTAGGAGCCTAAAATGTTGCACCTACTATCCATAGTAGCACCTTATTTTAACCTCATAACAATCTTGGGAGAGTTGATCCCAAATCAGCCAGGTGAGTTCCATAATTGAGTGAGAACCTGAACCTGCATTTTCCCTTCTGCAAGGACAGAAAGAAGAAAGGAACTATGATTCTTACATCGTATTAAACCATATTATGATTTGGGATTGACTTTGCATGTTATACACTCAGCTATTATGGCTACAGAAGGTGAAAGAAAATGTTGCTCTGCCCCAGATGTTCTTTTAGCAGACGAGTAACAACCATTTACGTTAGAGAAGATCTGTGACAAAATTTCTCAATTTTTCAAGCCTTTTTCATAAAAAGAGAAAATAGCTCTTCTCGGTCATTCTTCATGCCCTTTTGCAGATTGGTACATATCATTTACACATATGAGGGAGACTAAGGAATATACTAATATTAGGAAAGTTGAAATTCTAGGGCAGGGGTGTCAAACTCATGTTGTCATGTTGTCATGTGACGTATTGCAGCTTCCCCCCCCCTTTGCTAAACCGTGGGCTTAGACAGCTCATGACGCATTCAGCCCATGGGCCGTGAGTTTGACACCCCTGTTCTAAGGCATAATGTCGTTCAAGAATCTGAACTACATTGCGTGGAGATGAATAAAACATTATGTAATATAACAGCATTATCAAGGGACTGCGATCCTTACAAAGTAAGCAACAAAGAAAACGTCTACTAAGATGATGAAGAAGTAAAAAATCAGGAACAGCTTTCCCACAGTGTGAGAGGACTGTCTCAGCAGCAGAATTACCCTGCCATTAAAGGGCAGCATAGTATTAATTACTTCATTTGCTATTATAGCACATGGTAGGACAAGAGAGGTGATTATGGGATTTGAGATATACTAAAATAACATGGCAGTGTTATTGACAATGATGGGCTAGACATCATTTTACTGATCTGTCTCAAGGTGGGAACATGTGCAAAGGAAACCAGAGAAACGGGGTTACTCAGAAATGCCCACAGTTACCCTGTGTTAAGATGGGCGGCCAATAAATGTAATGACAAATAAAATAAATATGCACACAGGGTATGGGCTTTGATCTTGGGGTCTGCTCAAAGAAGATGCCAAGTTATAATGTCCCAAAGGTGCTTTTTCTGGAGGCAGCTGGACTTCCTTGTTTTTCCTTTTGAAGACGTTTCACTTCTCATCCAAGAAGCTTCTTCAGCTCTGACTGGATAGTGGGGAATGGAAGGATTTATATTCCTTGCAGGCAGCTGGTCATTTTCACCCTTTTAGAAAGTCATTGAAGCACTTGGAGGTTTGTCTGTGTCCTCAGGGTCACCTGAGTAGTGCTCCTGGTTCCTGTAGTCTGCAATTTTTCCCTCTGGAAAAGTTCCTATTCCCACACCATTCAAAGGGTGTTCGTCCCAAATTGTATAGCTAAAAGCCTTTGGGATAACCATGCTCTGGATGGCTGAGAATCTCTACAGGCTTTTTGCCAAGTCACAATATCTTTAGTTTGGATTTAACATGTTATATGAATCTAACCATGACACATAAGGCAGGATTATGACACTGTAAAAGTTGTGAAAACCTTATGAGTTGATTCATTGAAAAATAGACTGTGATGAAATAAACCGTATCTATACATTCCTTTGGTCACAACAATGTTACCTGCTCTCAAACATCAACCAATGAATTCAGTTTTTGACATTTTCCTTTGAGAAAATATATATAATTTGCCAAGCTGCTTTATGGGAATCCAAGCCAAGGAAGAAGATAAGAAAAACAAACTGCAAGTGACAGGCTAAACAAAACATGATTATTCAGGATTTTTTTTTTTAAAAAAAAAAGTAATATATACATACCCAGCCCCATATGGCTATTCGTTTTTCATCAATAAAACCCATGTCTATAAACTTTCTGTTTGGAAGAAAAATGCACACAATTAATTAAAGAAACATAGATATTTTAAACTACTTTCGGATGCTAGAAAATACAAGAAGGGGTATGTGGCACAAAAATATTTTAAAAATCCTAATTTCAGTGCTAATAGATACCAGCTACTTAATATGGGTCTGAGCCTAGTAAAGTCAAAGACAGCAGGTCATTTTGATTTTATCTTAAGCCACAATGTCACATGTATGCGTTTTGGCAACTTTTGCCAAATCTAATCCTAACCTCCTTCTAGCCTCTATTTTACAAAAAATTCTGCTTCTAATTTTAAATTGCCCTTTCCAACTATGTTTAAACAAGCCAGGAGAAATTGTGATTTACAAACCTAACTTCACCGACCTTTCATTAACCCTAATCCTGTGGACATGATTAACTTATAACTAATTATATCTGTGCGTATAAATAAAATAAATTCCAAGTAGGAATTTTTAAAAAAACAGATTTTATTTTGCCTATGGTATGTTTATCAGGCCAGGGCTGCAAAAATCTTGGCAGTCAAGAGATGACTATAAAACTTGAGAGACCGCCTGCTGCCAATTACCTCCCACAGACCCATTAGATCTCATAGGGTTGGCCTCCTCCGGGTGCCATCTACCAGCCAATGCCATCTGGCTATTACCCGGGGGAGGGCCTTCTCTGTGGCAGCTCCGGCCCTCTGGAATGAACTCCCCGCAGGGATTCGGATCCTCACCTCTCTCCAGGCCTTCCGAAAAGCTGTCAAAACCTGGCAGGCCTGGGGGTGATGAGTTCCCTCCCCTCTCGACATGTATGGTTGTGCGACTGTTGTCTATTTTTATTATTTGTATTTTGTCTTTTATGTTCCCCTTTTTCCCCCTTTTGAATTGTTCACCGCCCTGAGTCCTTCCGGAGAAGGGCGGCATACAAATAATAAAATTCTATTCTATTCTATTCTATTCTATTCTATTCTATTCTATTCTATTCTATATACTGGTTTTCTTTGGTGGCATATTCTGGGCATCAGGATTTTAGCAACCTTGATCTGGTAGCCTAGACTATGGGATCTGCTGATGTGCCCAGCTTCAAATATTTAAATCAGAGGTGAGTTTCTCATAATTTTACCACCAGGTCTCCGTGCACCGAAAATGTGAGCATGCACGCTTGTGTATTCTGCACATGGGAACGGCCTTCCACACATGCACTTTGCTCATGTGCACAGCTTGCACGCATGCACATAGCTTAGAAAACGTGGCTAAATAGGACAGGCCCAACGCAGGTCGCCACTACCAGTTTGGTTAAACCAGTCTGAACCGACTGAATACCACCACTGATTTAAATGTAATAGACGCTTTATCAAAATACAGGATTGTTTCTGATCATGAAAAGGTGGGATAAAAAGCTTTAAATATTATCAATCTGAACTTCCCCCCGGAGTCCTTCGGGATTGGGCGGCATAGAAATCTAATAAATTTAATTCAATTCAATATGTTTCTGTGTGTATACATGCAGCTCTGTGATTTCATGGTGGTGTCTCATCCAGTCTCCTTATCCTATGTTCAAGTCAAAGTTCTATATAAAAACATGTTACTCCAATGGACAGAGAGTACTTTCCTCTATCCAGCTTTTAGGTCTGAATGAGAGAGCCATTTTGATAAATATGCCCAACCTTCCCAAATGGGTCTATATAGATCATCACTGAAAAGTCTTTTGGAGACAAGGTCAATTTTTATTAGACCTTTCTGATATAAGTTTAATGAACTTATTTTTCTTTCAGCTCTCTGTTTTGTAAGTTTGCCTTTATTATTATTCATCACACAGTCAGCCAGATGTTCAGACTGGATTTAGCATTTTTGTCCACCTATTGAGTCCTTCCCAAGGGAGTCGTGCGGTGGCCTAGAGTTGGAGCTTTTGCCTCACAATCAGAAGGCTGTGAGTTCGATCCTAAACAGAGACAGATATTTCTCTCTCTGGGAATATATCTGCAACAAAACTCCACATTGGTGACAGGAAGGGCATCTGGCCATTTAAAAACTCTGCTAGCTTCATTCAGTTGCCCAGACTCCACTCCACAAGGGATTATGGGGTCGTTAAATAAAGATGTTGATGATTGAGTCCTTCCCAAGACCTGAGATATGCAGATGTGGATGTTTGATAATGTTTGAGATATTGTCACAGGATGTAAGCTGTTCCAAGGAAAGCTGCTTTTTGCAATTGACTAATGGTGAATTTGTTAATGGCAATGGTGTTCAGGTGGTGCTCCAGTTGTTTTGGGATATATTATTAAATGTATTGTTAGTTGCCTGAATGACAGAACTACTTAGTAATACTTAGCTTTTAAGTTGCACTTTCACCTATCTAGAGTACTTTCTCTACATTTTCTAGCTGTAATCTTTATCTTCATCTACAACTTGCAAGGTAAACTGGACAGGTGCAGTGGGGGGCAGGGAATTGAGGCTAAGGAAAAGTCATTTGTCTCAATCTCTGGGAGAAGCAGAATTGAAACTGAGGTGTTCTTAACAATGAACAGACATCTTCTATAAAAACTCCTTTCCTTGTCATTCAGTTGAAAGCATGACTTGGAATCTGAGGTTAGATATGGGAAATCCAAATTCAAATCTCAGTTTATTAATGCTCCCATCAAGATTACATTGCAAGTGAAGCTTCATGAGGCTTCACAAAGAGGTAGCCTAAGAACACAGGATATCGAAAGCAGCGGTGGCATTCAGCAGGTTCTGACCAGTTCTGGAGAACCAGTAGTGGAAATTTTGAGTAGTTCGGAGAACCAGTAAATACCACCTCTGACTGGCCCCACCCCCATCTATTCTCTGCCTCCTGAGTCCCAACTGATCTGGAGGAAATGGGGATTTTGCAGTATCCTTCCCCTGGAGTGGGGAGGGAATGGAGATTTTGCAGTATCCTTCCCCTGGAGTGGGGAGGGAATGGGGATTTTACAGTATCCTTCCCTTGCCATGCCCATCAAGTCACACACACCAAGCCAAGCCATGCCCACAGAACCGGTAGTAAAAACATTTGAATCCCATCACTCATCCAAAGGCATGAGCTTGAAGAAGTAACACGGTTAGCAAGAGTTAATATTATCAGTGGGTCATCAGTGGGTCATAAGGATCTGGCCCATATTTCAATAAAGCAGTCGCAGGAAGAAAGGGCATCAGGAAGGTTGATTTTCACATGTATGGTAGTTAAAAAACAAGCAGGCTTATGGGACCATAATCCCATTATTAGAAGCTTGAATGAATGAGGATCATCACCAGGGAATTCAGCAACAGAGTAGCAGAGAAAAAATGACCAAAATATCAAGTAGGTGGAAGATTCTTCCAATTGATGCTTACAATAAAACTTCACTTCTTTGGATGGTGTATTATTAATATGTATTGCAAAAAAAAACTAAAGTCAACTGAAGACATTCTCTTTTCAATCAACCTTGACACCATGTGATATTCATGCCATTGCAAAAGTGTTCTTCCACTGTCTTTTTTCATATGCGTCTGTCTGTCTTTTTGTCTGCCTGCCTGCCTGCTGTCCATCCATCTATCTGTCCACCTACCTACCTACCTACCTACCTACCTACCTACCTACCTACCTACATACCTACCTACCTACCTAAAGGGCAGGAATCATGGAAGAGAAGGCTCTTCTCCTTGACCCCGCCAGTCGAAATTCCTTGACTGATGGGATCTGCAGCATGCCTCCTCTTCCAGCGCAGGTGGGGCTGTAGAGTAAAATAGGAAATTTCCCATTATCTTTTTTTCGATAGAAGAGTTCTGCCTGTGCCACCACACTCTGTACCAGTTGTAGCTTCCAAATGTCCTTCAAGGGTAGCCCCATGTAAAGGGCATTGCAGTAGTCCAGACATGAGATGACCAGGGCTTGAATGGCTGAGTGCAGGGACTCCTGATCATGGAAATCCTGCAACTGGTGCACAAACCAACATTGTGCAAAGGCTGTTCTGGTCACAACTGCTACATGCTCTTCAAGTAGAGTCCCAAGCTCAGGAGAATCCCCCTCCCCCCAAGTCATGAACTGGGTCTGTCTGGGATAGTGCCACCCCATCCAGACCTAAATATATCAAAATCCCAGTTCCTAAATGCATGTTTTTGCTGATAAAAAACCTGATAGGTACAGAAAAATGAAATTGTACTTATGAATGAGTATGTGTAAAACTAACCTAGATCACATCTTTCACCTTAGTATCTTCAGTTTATTACTTTATGACACCAATTTAAAACTTTTATGGTTACTATAAAACAAACAATTCTGCTATTGCATTGTACAAAAAAAAGTAACGATAGCATGATGGAAATCAAAACGGTAAATTGCCCCATCTGCTTCACTCTGTGCATTTAAACAGCAAAAAGGAAACGGAAGCATCAGAAAGGAGAAATGTGGTGAAAGAGATAAGAGATCCGTATAGTTACACTTACAGGAACATGCAAGCAAGATGAAGAGGTGAGAAGCTCTATGTTTTATTCTTAGTCCGGCTGGTTCGTAATTTGTCAAGCCAGACTAATAATCTTTGCTCAGCTTAAAAAAGGTCCATGCAAACATTACTTCCACGCATCTGGAGCATCAAATTTATATCCTTCCTAATGTATTCAGAGCTCTTTACCTCTTAAGCAGAAGTGGTATTCAGCAGGTTCTGACCAGTTCTGGAGAACCGGTAGTGGAAATTTTGAGTAGTTTGGAGAACTGATAAATACAACCTCTGATTGGCCCCGCCTCCATCTATTCTCTGCCTCCCGAGTCCCAGCTGATCAGGAGGAAATGGGGATTTTGCAGTATCCTTTCCCTGGAGTGAGGAGGGAGTGGAGATTTTGCAGTATCCTTCCCCTGGAGTGGGGAGGGAATGGAGATTTTGCAGTATCCTTCCCCTGGAGTGGGAAGAGAATGGAGATTTTACAGTAGTCTTCCCCTGCCATACACACCAAGCCACACCCACCAAGCCATGCCTACAGAACCGTAGTAAAATTTTTTGAATGCCACTACCGCTTTCAGAAGTGTTGACTTCTGAAACAAACCCAGAGGTCATTCCAAGAATTCCACCAAATCCAGAGGAAAAACTGTTATATTCATGGGATAGGTCAAGAATATTGGGATGTAAAAGGAGAAATAATAAAAACATTTCTGTAGCTTTGTAAAGACTGCCACATAAACTCATGTTGGCAGTCTTTACAAAGCTACAGAAATATTTTGCCAAATATTTAGCTTAAGTTAAATTTTGCCAAATTCCCAAATCTAAATAGTGTTCGAGCATGACTGTTCAGAATATTCCCATATGCACTGCAAATAGTAGTTATAACTAATTTATTAACATACATTTCTTTAGCATCAAACATGATCAGCCCTGAATAAATCTCGGCAGCTATTCGTGGACTTACTCCTAGAAGGCCTGCAATGCTCCCCACAAATCTCTCCTTATTCTTACCTTACAGCTGAGATTTGATCTTCAACTTCATAAACCCCAAGTTTTCGATAGACCGCATGCAACATCTTATCGCCTTGGAAAGCGGTTCCTCTGCCATCCACAAGTGCTACTACAATGTCTTCTTTGCTTGCAAGATAGCTGATCCAGCTAATGCTGAAGGTATGCTTCACCCTTTGGCTACAAGGCCCCCCATATCTACAGGAAATAGCAATGGAATGTAAAACATTCTACGTTAACATCCCTAAGGTCCTAAAATATTTAATAAATAGTAATAAGAAAAATTGAATGATGAAGGACTTCCTCATTGGAGTTTTGTTTTTTGTTTTTCATATATATATTTAAAAATACAAATAATACAAACATAGTAAATACAAAAAAAGAAAGAAAAAGGAAAAAAACCTGCAAATATTATAGTGCACCCCTGAGACCTTTTTTTACCCTTATATTTCTTTATATATAACAACTAAAAGATATATAATATATTCCAATTGTGCCCTTATACCCTTCAAAATGACATATAGTCTTTAGGTTTATTCCCTTTGCTTTCCACCAACACTGATTTTATAAAATCCCCCCTTATTTCATTATAATTATTGACTTAAATCATCCCTTTTTAAAATTTAGTTTCCGTTGTTATTTTATCATTGGTTGCCTTTCTCTAAATTTCATTATACCACTCATATCTTTGCATATCCCAATTTCGTTCCCAATATTTAGCCATCACTAATCTAGCTCACTGGAGTTTTGGAATTACTTCTCAGATGCAGAAGGACACAGTGGTTAAAGTTTTGGACTATTATGATTGAGAAGATTACCCTCGGCCAAAGAAACTCACTGCGTAGCTTTGGACCAACAGCCCCTCTTTTATTTTCTAAATATCCCCCAAATCTTAATTTGTCAATGACCAAAATTGTGTGTTTGTTTGTACGTGTTGTCTGTCTGTCTGTCTACCTGTCTGTCCACAGAGCTGTTATGGGCAAAATTGTTAGCTTGAGCTCCTGAAGAAACAAAGATGGTGGTAGAAAATACAAATAATTTCCTACATTACTTTGAGCTATCTTGCTTGAGAAGAGCAGCCTTACAGGGAGTTTTCCCCCTGAAGATGAAGAGGATTTCACTTGAGAACTTCTGCATACTCAGCATACATTGAGGCATGGTGGTGCAGTGGTTAGAATGCAGTACTGCAGGCTACTTCTGCTGACTGCCAGCTGCCTGCAATTTGGCAGTTCAAATCTAATCAGGCTCAAGGTTGACTTCGCCTACCATCCTTCTGGGTGGATAAAATGAGGACCCAGATTGTTGGGGACCATATGCTGACTCTGTAAACCACTTAGAGAAGGCTGTAAAGCACTGTGAAGCGGTATATACAGTAAGTCTAAGTGTTATTGCTATTGCTGATCCCGATGTGCTGTGGCCAGCTTTGCAAAGTATTGATAAATTTGAAAGTATATACAAGGTATATAGGGAGGACAATTGAATAAAATGTTACATACACCTGTATAAGAAGAGGATATTTCTTGGATCTATCAAACTTTGGAGGTAGAAGCATCTTGTACCATAAAGCTGGAAAAAAAGGGGGGGGGGAAGGGAGAGAATGAATGAATTCAATGGGAAACTTCCTGTAGCAGTTTAAGATCCCATGATAATATTTATGGCTGCAAAGTTTGCATTGTTGATAGACCAAGTGGATTAAATACTATCACAGTCCTTTCTTTTAATCATGCATGTCATGCTGTATTTTACATTATACACTTGCATTTTCTATTGTGACATCTGTGGTTTGTGATGCCTTATAAAGTCTGATTGAGTCCTGAGAACTTCATGGATTTGTCCATGTAATTTTCTTGGCAACTGTGTAGAATTTAGACTTCCATTGCTGTGTTTCAGGATTTTATTTTTTGTTCAACTTGCCAATTTAGACTACAGATCTATGATTCCTTTTTTTAGTATCTGATCTAAGCATTAACAAGGTTTGATGCTGATTAGCTCCTGAGCCCAGGTAAGATCAGCCAGATGACGCAAAGATGTAAGAAAAGCGCTCTCCCAGATAGTCCATGGATTATGATCACAATTGAGCCCCAAATTTCCATTGCTAAGCAAGGCAGTGGCTGAGTGAGTTTTGCCCCATTTTATGTCCTTTCTTGTCCTAGTTGTTAAGTGAATCATGCAGTCATTAAGTGAATCATGCAGTCATTAAGAAAATCTGGCTTCTCTCATTGACTGTGCTCATCAGAAGCCGGCTGGGAAGATTACAAACGGTGATCATATGAACCCGGGACACTGAAACTATCATAAATATATGCCTGTTGTGTCATGCCTGAATTTCTATGACATGAGGATGCTGCAACAATCTTAATACAATACAATAGCAGAGTTGGAAGGAACCTTGGAAGTCTTCCAGTCCAACCCCTGCCTAGGCAGGAAACTCTATACTGTTTCAGACAGATGGCTATCCAACATCTTCTTAAAGACTTGCACTGTTGGGGCATTCACAACTTCTGGAGGCAAGTTGTTCCACTGATTAATTGTTCTAACTGTCAGGAAATTTCTCCTCAGTTCTAAGTTGCTTCTCTCATTGATTAGTTTCCACCCATTGCTTCTTGTCCTGCCTTCAGGTGCTTTGGAGAATAGTTTGATTCCCTCTTCTTTGTGGCAACCCCTGAGATATTGGAACACTGCTATCATGTCTCCCCTAGTCCTTCTTTTCATTATACTAGACATACCCAGTTCCTGCAATCGTTCTTCATATGTTCCAGCCTCCAGTCCCCTCCAGTCCCCTAATCATCTTTGTTGCTCTTCTCTGCACTCTTTCTAGAGTCTCCACATCTTTTCTACATCGTGATGACCAAAACTGAATGCAGTATTCCAAGTGTGGCCTCACCAAGGCTTTATAAAGTGGTATTAACACTTTAAATTTAATGAGCTCCCCATTTATCCCCTCATCCAAATCATTGATGAAGATGTTGAAAACTACTGGGCCTAAAACAGAGCCTTGGGGTACTCCACTGCATACTTCCCTTCATGTAGATGCAGTTCCATTGAGGACTACATGTTGAGTGCGGTTGGTCAGCCACTTACGAATCCATCTGGTGGTGATGCCGTCTATCCCACATTTTTCTACTTTATCTAGTAGTAGGTTATGGTCTACTTTATCAAATGCCTTACTGAAGTCCAAGTAAATTATATCGACGGCATTCCTCTAGTCCACTAATTTTGTCACTTTGTCGAAGAATGCAATAAGATTAGTCTGGCATGATCTGCTAAGTATGAAAACTGGTCATGAGTCATATTTTTCAGTGTCATTGTAACTTCAAATGGTCGTAAGTCAAGGACTACTTTTATTCACTTTCTCCAGATGAAACTTAAAGATATACAACTAAGCCAAAGAGCCATAGGAGGATGGCTCCAATTTCCTCATCACTTTGGTTGCACATCTCTGTGCTATGCAGTCTTTGTCTGGGAATAGGCTATTAATCAGTGGTGGGATTCACTTACCTTTGCTATTGGTTCACAAATGTGAGCGCACTGCATACCCAGAAGGTCACACATTACATTGGGGAAGGTGGGCGGAGCCTCCAGCAGCCACCCCTACCAGTTCGGGGAAAGAACCAGCTGAAAACCACCTCTGCTATTAATGTATAGTATTCTAGGAATTCATTTCTTAATTACACTGTTGAAGGGAAAACTCTACTGTACTGTTTCTTGATCTAAATTCAGATATTACACCATAAGTTTTAAATAGCAATGATTTAGTTCTTGTGCATACGCTGAAAAATTAGGTACGACAAACAAATAATACTTACTTAGACCATCCACTTCAAGTTTGTTAATCTTCTCTATTGGTAAACTGATTTTTTGCAGAGCAGACTCCAAATTTGCATTGTCTTCTAAGACTCTAATTTCTGTGTATAAAAAGTTTTGAATTACAAATGCATTTCTCATTGATTCTCTGTTCTTGAAATGTTACACAACTGGATATTAATAAAAGGTTAAATGTCAAATCTGTTAAATTTAAAAGATTATATGAATTTTCCTAGTTTATAATTATGGAAATAGCAAGAGTTTCATGATATAACTGAAAAAGAGTTGAGATTTTCCTAGAAAAATGCAGGGATGTTTCCTGGAATTAAGGTAAACTTCATTACAGGGTAGTAAATTCAATTTATTAGGTAATCTGGATATAAATAATGTAATGTGTGACTCAATATAGTCTGTTAAGTGTTTAAATGAATGAAAGAATTTAATCATGATAAAGTATTTATATCATCATGATTTTGTTGTATATTTACTTAACATACAAAGCAGACAAATAAATAGCAAAGCCATATTATAACAGTTAAACAGTGTTCACATCTTTTTAGATTTATGTGCCTAAAACTTTACGGAAGCTGATTATGAATACCAAACCTAAACAGAATTTTGTATTTTCTTTCTTGCAATTGGGCAATACAAGTCAGTTTTAAATGAAGTGTAAAAACATTTTATCACTCTGGCCATCAGAATCAAAGATCTTTTCCTCGCTTGTGCTTAACCACAGCACAAACATGTTCTGGCATTCCCCCCCCCCCCAGTGACTCATGATGGGGCCTTTATCTCTTCTCATCCTGATGAGTCAGGTTGAAGCTGGTCTTTGCCATGCTAGTTTTGAAGTATGACTTTTCTCCTTATGCCCACAGTGGCTAAGATTAGCCTCAAAGTGTGTAAAACTGGTTAGGCTTTGATACCCTTTGTCAGGTCTTATAGACCGGGGATGCTGCCATTCTGGTGGGGAGGGGGCCTGGGCACATTCTTTAGTTTACGGCCTTTTTCCTGGTGCCTATTTATCCTGTACTTTGATTTACCTTCTTGGAATGTAAGGTGGAGAGGGCCATCTGTTTTGTCTCAGCTTCGGAGCCTCCAGCAAGCAATGAATGGAGAACAACTTATCACCTTCTCAGCCTGCGATTCTCAAAACAACTTTGCACCTGTAGATTGGCCTATTCAACACTGGACTGAGGGGAGGGGTTTCTAACTGCTTTAACCTAACAGAATTGCACAGGAGTCCTCAGATCCTGCTTTCTTTGTCTTGCTATCACTTTCCTTTCAATAAAAGTTTGCTTTTGAAATGCTAAGTGTTTCAAGAGTTCTACTTTCTTGAGCAGAGAGGAGAGGCAAGTCCTTACACTCTTACCTTTGTTATATCTGTTATCATATATAGTAGAAATGGGGATGCCTGGGCCTGCAGTATTGATTAGAATAAAAAGAGAATCTCCATTAAAACAAAAGATCTGAAACATATTATCACTACTGAAAATAATTTCATTGCTTAGCTGCTTACATATTCCCATTTGTTCATCACTCACAGTTGTTTTTCCCCATAAGCTTAACATTTTAATTTGAGCAAACTGCAAAGCCCAGTTGGGTGTTAGAATGACAGTAGATGTACTGGAAGTAACTTCCTCAACGTTTCTACAAAGTGCCCTACTTGAGGCTCCTTTACAATGGATAGTGGGATTGCAGGATTCAACCCACAAATGTCTGCATTTATATTATAGAGAACACTATCCAGTTTCTGGGATTCCACAAGTACAAAAACATCTCTGATAATACTTCATAGCAGTAAGATGCAGTAAAATCTGAAAAGCAATGCCATTTTGCCACTCTTATTACTGTAGAAAGTTAGAAACTCAAACAGGTTATTTTTCTTATTAACATTGAGAAATTTACTTCTGTCTCTGTGTAAGAGCATCTGTAGCAATCTCTCTCTCTCCCCTCCCTCCCCTCTCTCTCTGTGTATCAACAGCGTTGCTGAGAATAAGGTAAAACGTTAACCTTTGCATTCTATACAGTTTTCTTCACTCACCCAGATGAAAAGATACCTAAATGGTTACATAACTTGAGCACAGAATTAACCATGCACAAAAGAATCTGGATAAGTTGTCTTAACTCATTTCTCAAGGTGAGCACATTCCCTGTGTGACACAGTTTTGGCACAGATGAATGATGGAAGTGCTTATTTAGTTATGTTTGCAATTTTGCTAGAGACATGGTCATCATTTGTGATGCTTGTACACCTTGTACTAAGCATAAATATATGATGAAAACTGTACAGCAACTATTTTCTCCCTAATATGACCTGAGGAAAATGTACATTGCTATCCAAACATCAGTTTTATTCATCCATACTAATCTACCAATATGGCTGCACCCAGATTTCTCTCTTTAAATGTAATCTGCATTATATTTTATAATTTATTTTATTTTTACTTTGGTTTGGATTTTAAATGCCATAACAAGCAAAGAAACTCATCCCCTGGACAATGGTGATGTCACCAGTTTATCCTTTCAACCCGGAAGCAACTTAAACAGTGTTTCTGCACAGATGGGATGGGAGGCAAAGAAACTACTTTTAAAAGTTTATTTTAAGAAAGTAAGCCAGAGCATTGGTCTGACAGAGTCTTTCCTCATTCCATAAACTCAGAGCTCAGTTGCAGAATCCTTCTACAGGGTGAAAAATGTCCTAGGTTCAATTTCTAGGAGTTCAAGTTCTAGAACAGTGGAGAAATGCCCTGGCTGAAACCACAGATAGATGTTTCCTCTCTTTCTCATCCTCATGATTGGATGGTTCCACATTCTGATGGCATAAGGCAGTTTCCTACATTCTAAAACGTGTTCATATCAGCTTTGAGCTCCCCCATGTCAAAACCGACTCATTCACTTAGTCAATGGGTGTGGCCTTAATTTGTCTTACAGTTTGTTTCAAAGGATGAAAGATTATGCTGCCAGATCATATTCTCAGAGTCTTTGCCATTTCATAACTAGAAAGCAATATAGATGATGTATTAAATGCACTATCCTAATTTTCCAGATGATTAAACTGTACATTAAATTACCTTTATAATAGAAAACTGAAGGGCATTATTTTACTTAGTAAAAGAAGTATGTACGTACGTACGTACGTACGTACGTATGTATGTATGTATGTATGTATGTTAAAGGTAAAGGTTCCCCTCGCACATATGTGCTAATCGTTCTCAACTCTAGGGTCAGCACTTATCTCCGTTTCAAAGCCAAAGAGCCAGCGCTATCCGAAGACGTCTCCATGGTTATGTGGCCGACATGACTAAACACCAAAGGCGCACGGAAAACTGTTACCTTCCCACCAAAGGTGGTTCCTATTTTTCTACTTGCATTTTTACATGCTTTCGAACTGCTAGGTTGGCAGAAGCTAGGACAAGTAACGGGAGTTCACTCCGTTATGCAGCACTAGGGATTCAAACTCCCAAACTGCTGACCTTTCTGATCGACAAGCTCAGCATCTTAGACACTGAGCCACCATGTCCCTCATGCATGTACTATTTACTACTATATCCACCAGACCCAATTCAGAGAAAGAATCCAACTCCATATACAGAATTCCAAATAATAAACCATCTAACATGAAGAGGGAAAATTGTTCACCAGCAACAAGCCAATTGTAAACAATTCCCAACCTCACCATACCCAGCTACTGTAACATCTGGAGGGTGCTTTTTGTATCCACATGTATAAGGTAAACATCATGATGTTCACTGGGGCTTATGCCCAGATAAGTGTACCTAATATTGTACACATTCATTTACTGCTATTAATGTGCTCTGAAGTAGAAACAGTGAAATGTGACATGAAATAGCTATTAGGATTTTATTTACCCACAAATTTGACATACCATAACAGATTAGTGCATAATAGTTGGCGTTATAACTGAATCTTGCTCCATAATACTGGCATCTTTCTTTTCGTAAATTACAAGTAATGCACTCCTTTGTTACAGTATTTCTTCCAATTCTGTAAAAAAGACAGATTTAGAAAAAAAATTAGCCTATATATAAAAAGATCAGTCTTTTCCAATGTTTCCTTACTATAGGAGGGTGTGGATTTTGGATAAGATGTTCATGTAGACTAGTACATTTTTCCAAAAAAAAGACCTATCCCGAAAGTAAGTCCTACATGGAGTTTTACATGTGTGCCCAATATAAGCCCCACTTCCAAAATAAGCCTTAATTAAGACCCTGCCCACCCCAGGGTGCCTGGATAAAAATTAAGCTAGTGTGGGGATATGGGGGGAATGTGGGGGTGGAGCTGCCCTACTACTTACCTTTGGATAGTTGCAGCCAGACCTCGCACACCCCGACATCTGCTTTGCTGGCTCATTTCTTCTAACAGTCAGCAAGTCTGGCAAGGCTTTCCTGAGGGCTTCTGCAGCTGATAACAGAGCTCTGGATCGATCCGGAGCACTGTAATCAACTGCAGAGGCCTTCAGGCCTTGCCAGGTGGAGAAGAAATTCCTGAAGGCCTCTGACAGCAAAAATAAGGCCGGGAGTGACGCACGGAGGTGAGTTGAGTCAGTGGCAGAACCGCCCCCCCAAAATAAGACCTGGTGCCTTTTTTTTGGTGACAAAAAATATAAGGCAGGGTCTTATTTTCAGGAAAACATGGGTAGTATGTTAAAAGCTGTTTTTTTTATTAAAATATAATTACTTTATTCGGAGTACTGGCCTCCATTTTGTCTAATATTACAGTATTATATTAGGTCCAACTTAATTCTCTTTATGTATAAGAAATATGAGTAATTATTCCTTGCAAACTATGAGCCAAAGAAACTACGTAGTTTTGATGAAGTTGGTGAATTGTACTCACTAACCTGAAGTACTCTTTACTTTTTTACCCTTAATAATAAAGTTTCTATAGCAGGAGTTTTGATAGCAACTTACTTGTAAATGTTTCTTCTTCCTGGGTAACCTTCAAATTCATTGCTTGAATAAAATCTGGAAAGCAACATCCATTAGCAAATAAATTATGCATTCACTATGGGATGAAATTATAAAATGTTACTTATTAAGAAGATTCGTAAGAAAATGCTCAAACAACATGAACAGTTCCAGCCAGCCAGGAAATTCCGTTTCTTTCTAGATTCTTGTTTTTCCAAAAGTATTTCCCATTTATGCCTACTAAGGGAGGTTTGATTTATTTTCCTGCCCAATTCTTTTAGTTTTCTTGTAAAACTTTGGGTTTGCCAATCCTTTGAAGTAGGCTAGGCTAGGAAACAGACACTGCAAGAACAAGGATGTAATAACAGAATTTTGAAAGCCTAATAGAGATTCTTGGTCTTTTCCCACTGATATCAAAGAGAATCAAGGCAGAGAAATCTTGAGTTTCTTCCTTACTCTTTTCTTCTTGTGATACTAAGGGTGGTGCTTAATTAACAGTTGCTGAATCCTTTCATCAAGACTATCTCCATAATCCTCTACAGCAGGGGTGTCAAACTTGCGACCTGCGGGCCGAATGCATCAAGGGCTGGCCATGCCCACCCCTGGTTTAGCAAAGGAGGGGGAAAATTGCGATACATCATGAGACGACGTGTTGACGCGAGTTTGACACTCCTGCTACAGGATTCCCTGAAACTGTACTTTCATCTTTTTTTTGTGTGGGATGTATCATTTGGCTATGTAAGGATGCACATTCAGAAAATAAGTTTGCTATAAATATTTTATTAGGATGCTGGACAATGGAATTCTAAAAACCCTTTGAAACCTCTATCTTGTTTTTTGACTCTGGTACAGACGAAGAAACCAGATGTGGGTTGCTCCCGGTTCGGCCCGGTTCAGCCGAACTGATAGTGGAATTCAGGCCTGGGTTGCAGAACTGGCAGGGACCCAGGCCTACCACGCCCCTGAACCGCTTCACTTGCCACTGTTGGGCTACCGCCATTTTGGTTTTTACTGACTGCGCATGAGCAGTTCACTATAAATTATTCTGCACATGGACAAAGAACAATTTGCATTGAACAGTGTGCACGTGGGTTGTGCATGGACTGTGAACCGGTAGTAAAACCGGCAACAACCCACCCCTGGAAGAAACTAAATGCACTTTTTTTTACAGTGTTTACAAAAAAAGGGAGCTTGGAAATCTCTCTCTCCCCCAGTATATATGAGGAACATTTGCAGGAATTGGGTATGTCTAGTTTAATGAAAAGAAGGACTAGGAGTGATATGATAGCAGTCTTCCAATATTTGAGTGGCTGCCACAAAGAAGGCGGGGAGCCACCAATTCTCCAAAACACCTGAAAGCCAGACAAGAAGAAATGGATAGAATTGATCAAAGAAAGAATCAACCTAGAACTAAGGAGAAATTTCCTGGCAGTTAGAACAATTACTGATAATCAATGGAATGACTTGCCTCCAGAGGTTGTGGGTGCTTCAACGTTGGAGGTTTTTAAGAAGAGATTGGACAATGATTTGTCTGAAATGTTATGGAGTTTCCTGCTTGAACAGGGGATTAGGCTAAAAGAAGACCTCTAAAGCCCCTTCCAACTGTTATTCTGTTAATTTTGAATGTAATACCGGTATGTATGTTTCTCTTTAAGGAAGATAATTGGATAGCTCATAAAGTTATTTTGTTATTGAACAATCCAATATATACTTATTCAAAAATAAATGTTGCTATATTGGTTGGGGACTATACTCATGCATAGATATCTATATTCTGAATTCTTATTCACTCAGAGACAAATTTAGGCTTCTACATTGCACTAGACCATGGCTTGATTTATCAGTTTTCTCAACAAGCCAACATCAGTTGAATTTATATACCCTGTTAAATTGCAAGCCAAGGCTAAGACCAAACTTTAAAGTAAATGAAGTCCCTCTGCTTTAGTTTTTAACTAGATCAATATGTGAGCTTCCCGCTTCTTCTCCAAAACTGAATAATGATGATGATGATGATGATGATGATGATGATGATGATGATGATGATGATAATAATAATAATAATAATAATAATAATAATAATAATAATAATAATCAAGCAACATCTTGCCAGTAGAGCAAAAAGGCAACAAAAGAAGGAGCAGGGGCACAAAAGATCAGCTCCTAATTGATAAAATGATATTATTATTATTATTATTATTATTATTATTATTATTATTATTATTATCATCATCATCATCATCATCATCATCATCATCATCATCA